TGTGTGTGTGTGTGTGTGTGTGTGTGTGTGTGTGTGCATTACATTTATGTGTGAGCCATGTAAATTTATTCAAATGTGGGTATGTGGATGCCTCTGTGCATGCAGCTGTACAGTCTCACAAATATGCACTGTGGCTTTTTCTAGCCAAGTCACCCATCACGGCGACCCATTTTCAATCTCCCTAGATCCCAGACCACATCCCTATGTTTACTGCGAATGTGTCCCTTGTGCCTTGTGCCATATCCCATAATCCTTTGCCCCAGTGCCAAGAACCAGTGTTGGGCTATTGTCCTCCTCACCTGTTCTGTATTGCCAGTCGCCCGCAACACTTCCTGTTTTCCTTCATCTTTGGCCAACTGTTCTCCAGTTTTCACCCCCCTCGTTTTTTCCTCTGGCTTTTCTCCACTTCCACCTTTACCTTCATACTTTTGCTTTCATTTACATTCCTCATTTTATTCTCCATCACTTTGTTTTCAGTTAACTGAACACCTGAATGAAATTATAATAACCTAAAATCCAAAATATTCCAGTTTCCTAATTTGTCTTTCCTTTTTCCATTCTCAACCCTTGATAGATGGATGCAGGGCCCCCCAGAACTCATTACAGATGGAAAACAAAGAGATTGCACTGCTCTGCTCCTCTGACACTTACTCACATTCACTCCCATCATCACATTCTCATCCCTCCTTAAGTGCTGGGTCTTGCCTGGGCAGGAGAGCTGCTGTCTTCCTCTGGGCTCAAGAGGAAGCCTCGTTGAGCTGATTCCAATAACTTTTCATTTTCCTTCTGCTCCTGTGGACTGCCCTGAGTTTGCTCTGTGCTCTTTCACACAGCCACAAACACACACTAGTACACACACTCATATGCACATGCCAGGACTTGTAGTTCAAAATTTGGTGTGCTTGTTCCTATTTTTTCAATCTCTTGTTTAAAATCGGTATGTGTGCCTACACTTTGCATGCCCTGCGCTTCGGCACAGTTAATTTGCCTTAAAATAATTGATAATGTATCAAACTAAGAATTAAAATGGCAGGATATTAAGCCCTTTAAACATAAGTTCAGGGCTTCCAACGTAATTAGACAGCCACACAAAATCCTCGTCTTTCAAATTTTTAATGAGGAACAAAGACAATACCCAAGTTAAGAGAAGAGGAACCGTTGCACCGAATGACATCACGTTTCATGTTCCTGCAAACTGCAACATGTTCTAGTTTTAAGACTTACCAGAGGGTTGCATTTTGCTTTTGACAGTTCAAAAGCAAATTGCAACCCAAACATATTTAATTGTGTAATGAGCAAAGTACCTAAATGTGGAAAATGCTGGCATTTCTGCTTGCATAATCACTTAAATTATTAATCGCTTCTTGAAAAATAACTTTTTCAAATCGAATGGACATTTGCAGCTCTATACCTAGAAGACTCCCACCTGAATAGCACCCAGTCATCTGCTTTTGGGGTTGTTTCTAACAATAACTGACTGAAAGTTCTGGGCCAGGCCTCTAAAATACCCCCACCGCCTGTGGATGTGACAGCCAAGGAGGCCTAGCTTGTGCACTGTCGGCCAGCAATTGCTCAGCTTCATCCAGGCCTGGAAACATGGCAGATGGCAGTAGGAGTGAACAGAGGAGGAAAAAGACACCATGCGTGTGTCCATGAATGCGAGGCAAACAGAGACAGGTAGAATGACAGAGAAAAAGGTGTAAACATGTGACCACATGTGCTTGACTGTCTATGATACCATCATTCATCACCTCTAAATCGCTGCAAAAAAATGGTGTAATATCTTTACTGAAACTAAAGTACCAACCTTTAGCAACAAATCAATAAAATGCATGTTAGGTATGGCTTTACCACACATTCTTTAACCATCACTTCAGGAAAACCATTTTACACGGCAAAAGAATTTGTATCAAATCAAAGCATCTACAGCTGAAGACATCGTTTTTTATCCCCAAAAAGTAAACAAATAAATAATAAACTAAAAAGAGTAGGGCACTATCTGCAGCTGTTCCAAACAGGCTTCACGAGTTAACAGATGTCATCTTTTGAGCTCATGGACGTACGTGTTCATGCTTTATTTTGTAGTTACGCCTCTGCACACTGTTACATAATTCCAGATTTACCTCGGATGATGGACAGCTTGGCGCTGGTGACAATCTCGCCTTCGCTGTTCTCAGCCACGCATTCGTAGACGTTCTCGTCACGTGGCGCTCGGAGAGGCTGGATTCTCAGAACTGCACCGGCACCCTCGTCAAACTCTATGGTCTGTGGGGTTGAAGTGTAGGGAACACGGTTAAGTCAGACAAATGTGTGATTTGGACTGAAAAACTATTACTTTAACCTGAAGCAACAGGTAGGCAAGAATGGCAAACCTGAGGAAAATAAGATTCTCACATTTCCTAAGGAGATACAAGGACGAGTGTGTCATCGATGCTCCCAAAATGTGAGAAATCGTTTTCAATTCCACCAAGATATCATTGCTTGGAAAGGTACCGTGTTGGTAATGTTTTATAGCCTGAGGCCATCAGAAATGTAAAAAAAAAAAAATCATAAGGAAGCATACTCTCTCTACAAACAGTGTTTGTGCTTTGTGATTTTATCTGTTGATTTGATCTTTAATTATGCCCTTTGTTCTCTATAAAGCCTTTTGTTTTGAACCTCATTAAAGGAGCCTCTTCAAAACAAAAAATATCAGACAACGGTCAGAATACTGGTTTGGTTATGATAAAAATATATTATTTGCTATTATTACTATTATTCTATAAGAAGAGCAATGTAAACAAAAACTTACTGAAAATGTAACAATGCGTGTGACTGACAACCGGACAGTTTTACAACAGTAGTCGCAGAAATTGGCCCCTGGCTAGTATTTAAATAGCCTTGTTTGATCTCCCTGAACACCAGCATATCAACAGGCATGTATCCTGAAGCAATGAGCTGAACTTCAAGACTTGGGTAAAAGACTAGAATTTAAATTATGGAAAATCTCGGTTAATTAGCCCTTGATTTGAATATTTCCCATGCCTTTCTCTTTTGCCCTCATTCTGGACGTGTGAAGTGTCAGTGTAGATGGTCAAGACTGCCATTCTCACAGCAAACCTACTCCTCCAGTATCTGTCCTTCCCCGCAAAAGTTAACACCGTCTCAGCCAAGGACTCACTGCTGTGAACTCTGAGCAAAGCATGACTATAAGATGCAAGTACAAGTCTTCAGCAGCCCTGCTGCTCCACTGTTGCACATCTCAGGGCTGAGCCGCTAATTAGGCTAAAAACACTGCAGAGCACGGCATCATGATTGATATCAAAGCAGCTGTCTAGAGGGTGGAAAAGGGAAAAAAAAAAACCCAGCTACTTCAAAACCCCTTTATAAATTTTTTTTATTTAATTTTATGATAAATGGAGAAAAAGAAGCGTCCGTTCTGGCGGGCTCCTTCACGCCCTTGGCTTTGTTTCCTACTTAGCATGCAGACGAGGCAAACGCACAAACACAACTTGTCTTTTAATTTTGTCCTCAGTGGAAATGCTGATCTCCCCTTGTCGATGGTGCCATTTTTTGCTTTTTTAGCCCCTCCCCCTGTGGCTGCCTTCACGCCGCACTGTGCATGTCCGTGTGTGTGCGTACATGTGTGCGCATCCCTGCACTGTCACTGTCATCGTTGTTAACGAAAGCAACTTTTTAATTAAGAGACACTGAGCATCAATCAAGACTTTTAGAGATGCCATCTGGGATGCCTGCCGAGAAGTGAACAACAAACATCATGAATAACGTGCAGAAACATTCACACAGACAGGGCTGTGTGCTGAAAAAAGACAGGAGGGAAAATGTGACAACAGCAGAGTCATTCAAATGCAAAAGAAAAAAAATGGCTTTAGACGAATGAGAGGGTTCTGTATTTCATTACTGACCAGTTGCTACTGGTAGACTAGCACACTGCTTAAAGATTAGAGAAGCAAGCCAACAAAGATGCTATCAGCAATAATTTCAAGGCTAATTAAAATGTTGCTTTTGATAAGGTGGTGAATGCCCCCAGCTGCAAGAGAAGACTTGGAATTTTGTACTGCTGAGAAGAAAATATGTGGTAAAACGTGTAATGTGGTATTAAACTGTAGGATTGTTATTTGTCACAACAGTAAATATCACAATATATAAAGTAACAAATGGTAAAGAACATTTGTTTATTACACAACTTTCTATTTATCTAAATTTTTAGCAGCTTTCCCCCCCCAATTTACTCCCATGATACTCCAAAATGTTTCAATGTAATGTTCTCTGACATGAAGATACAACATTTTTTTAGGTCAATACATTTTTCGACAGTGACATTTTTTAATATGATGCATAAAAATATTACTGAGTATTTCACCCAAAGCTCATTAAGGTAAAGTAAAGTGGGACAATTCCAAAAAAATGATCCCACAAAGAACAACAAAGAACATTTAGAATAAAGGCTGCACCAATGGACAGCAGGTTTCACTTACCTCTATACGCTGGGAGTTCACCTTCTTTCCTTTTTTGTTCCAACTAACCTTTGGCTTGGGGTCACCTGTTGCCTGGCAGACAAAGGAGACCACACCCCCCGAGACACCAATCTGGTCAACGGGAACTTTTGTGAAGCGTGGTAGTGCTGAGGAGCAAGACAACAGAGAAAGATGGAGAGGACAAGAAGAGAGGGAGATACATTAGTAGACGAAAGGCAAATGCAGCACCACCAGAGCTAATGCCATTCTTACCATAATTACATTTCTGAAAATACAGACTTTTAAATCCCGGTTTAAGTGCACGCATCCATAGAGAGAGACGCTAGTACAGAACGTCTCATCAACCTCCACTTGGCTCTTCCCTTTCAGTCTCTTACTCTTGTCTCCATAGCACAGTGCTGCATCTTAGTGTTACAACTTCAGAGTTCTGCTGGGCTGGGTAGAGAGCATTGTGGTGTGAATTTATATGTAGAGTCTTTGCTAAGGCGTAGACGATTATTAGCTTAAAATGATTACCCACAGAGCAATAGAGTACAGCCTAGCATACTACCGGCGTTGCTGGGAATACATTAGCGAAGGCAATTAAGAAGATGAGACAGTAAAAATGAGTTTTTGTTTTAATTTGACGCTATTTTTTTTCCAAGTGCTTAACATGACTTTTCCTGCTGGACAAAGTATAGCACTGACTAAGCCACTGCAGCAGTTCAATTCTCACTTGCACTAAAACATACTAAAAATTGATCTGCCCGGGAAAATTGATGCTTTTGCCCGTCAAAAGTTTGTAATTTTGGTGCTTTTGGAGCTGGAATTTTCCCCTCCTGCTTGGGTTGCAGCAAGTTCAAGACAACAAGTCTGATAGAAAGAGAGAAACAGAGAGAAAACAGACTCCTGGGGAACTCGTTAAAATGGAATCATACAGATATGTGGGGATGATCAAACGGCCAGCGCATAACGTCAAATTAATAATTAAGGGACCATGGGCCAACACCAGTCTCCAGGCACTGCTAAACACATATGAAGGAGAGTTCCTGCATTCATTATCTGGTAAAGAGATATACGCAATTGGAGAATGAGGTAAGAGGGAATAGCGTTAGACAAGGGGAAGGAAAAGAAGAAGGGCGAGAAGAGGCACTACACAATCCAAATGTTTCTGATGCAAATATCACAGCAACACACATACTAACTTTAGCCTGCTGAATTATTGGGATGAGTGCTTAGAAACATAATAAAAATGTGTTTAATTTTTATAAGAATCTAAAGTTTAAAAAAAAGTGCAACCTTGATTTATATTGCTTGGATGATCTGCAGATAAAAGTCTGTTTCAAAAAGCACCATTATGGCTACATGACAAAAAGAAAGACTTTCAGCTAATAACAACTATTAACATTAGTTCATGGCTAAAAACAAGACTCAATAATATCATTTGTGATGTAATTTTTCTTTTATTGAGACAAGTGTTTGGCAGAAATTGTTCTCCTACTGCAGATAAGCAGTTTTTCTCATCTTGCTTCTATTTCTGTCCTGCTTACCATACTTGTTTTTAGGAATATTGGTGCATGCATAGCTCAGGGGATAGTGCTAGTGGGCTCTATAACATTGTATTTTTTTAAAGTGTAAATGGTATTGCAAGACTGTGAGATTTTAAAGCGCTAATTTGATAGTAAATTTTGTTTTCATATATAACAAAATCTCTTCCTGCAGTCTGTGAGAGATGGATATTGTCCACACTGAACTAAATAAATATTATTACAATAACATTACTAACTTCAGAAGCTTATTCTATGTTTATGATACATGCAGAGTATGTATGTTACAAACCAGTTCCTTCTGAATACAAACCTGATGTTACTTAATGAACTAATTTAGGATTTAAACATAAAGAAATTTCAATTTGTCAAACAATGTTCTCCAGCTCACAGAAACCATATAACATGCACGATAAAAACAATGAATTTACAAAAAAACCCAAAACAAATAACACTCTGTTGTTTATTTCACTAGAGTATACTTCCTATATATACGGTTAAAGGTTGTGGTACAATATAGGTACAACATCCTTTCATCGTCATCAAGGACCAGGCCTGCTTTATTTGTGCGTTGCATACTATGACCCCTTTTGGCATTTTACACTTTCAATTTCCATTCTGAAACTGCACAACACAGCTTTACACAACACAGCTCCTCTGCATTTGACCTCCCCCTTACAATGCGCTCTCTGTTGAGACAGAAGAGGGATTTACACAGATCAAGCCTGTGGCGGTGGTTCTGCTGAAGGACAGCATTCTTTGATTAGTTTTTCCCCTGGACCATTTGACATTTCCACCCAGTCGCCTTCTCCACCTCTCCCTGTCTCGCTTCATAGGATGTGAGAAATGTACAATAAATGCGATTGTTTGCATGTGCGTCTGAGTTGAACTCGTGAAACGTGCAGAATTTTCAGAACTAAATAGTTTTCAATATTATCTCAGCAAGGTTTAAATAAAGCGAGACAGCTGGGGAGCTGGGAGGAGAACGAAAAAGAGTGTGACCGCTGGGAAGGACGGAAGGACAAGTGTAGCAGGAGGTGGAGAGGTCAGTGGTAAAGAGAACACTGGAAGAGAAGAGTAGAGAAGGTGACGGGAGGTCCAGAGAATCGAGGAGAGGCTGTGAAGAGAGAGTGCTGCATATTTCTATAGAAAGAAAGCTTTTATAACTTTCAGTACCTATTGCTTTTTTTTTGTTTGTTTTTTTGGTTATTTGCATTTTTCTTTTTCTTTTAAATGCATGAGATCAAACGGCCAGTTAATACCTTTTGGAAACAGTAATATCTGCTGTACGTGCTGCAACATCTTAAACTCCTTGGCGTCTGGTGTCCATGTACCCCTTATCAGCGAGGCATTTACGACAGTATTCACTGATCACGCCACTAACAATAAGTCTGATTTCTAAGACCTAGATTTACATTAACTCTCATCTAAAGCGACATTCAATAACGACGAAAGGAAGGGTGACCAGGGTTTTGTACATTTTCTGAAAGCCGTCCTAGATTCTTCTGAATAGAAGACATCCATTGCCTGGGGACGAAATAAAAATGTAAAACGCAGCTAAGAACGTCTATCACGGCCACCAGCTCAGCTGTAAGGCGGCACTCACAGCTCGACAAAAGCTAATGCTAGTGCTAGAAAATGGAAAGGTAGTTGTGCAAATGTAAGACACAATATCTCTCTCACAATGAGGACATCAGTCTACGGCCTACAGATGTCACTGCTGTCATAGGTTAATCCCTGGGCGTCACTGTTCACAGAGACATGCATCTCAAATTCAACCTCTACAGAGATTACTGCAAGGCATAAAATTGCACATAATTATATCGCACTGCCTGAAAGTTTTGTCACATAAGGACTGGCAAAAGTTTTAACTCCAGCTCTGCTCTCCTTCCTTGTATTTTTAAGGGCATATTTTTAGACTTTAGTCATCTCACAAAGTGAGTTTAATGTTCTTGGAAGTCAGTAGCTTTAATTAACTTCCAGTCAATTCGGATTAGGTAAAGTTGTCTGCACAATTCATTTAGATGGACTCCCAGTTTAACTGAATGTAGTTCTTGTTTTCAATAAAAACACTAAAAAAGTGTGTTTAAGACATTAAAGGAATAAAATGAATGGTGGGCAAACGTATTCTGCTGAGGTGTTTCTGTGTACCTGTCTGCATATGTTTGACTGGCACTGGCTGTTGAATGTCTATAAAGGTGCAGTTACTGCAGGTATGCCGTGTGTGATTGTGTGAACTCTGATGAGCATAATTAACCTTTTGTTCTGTTTTTCCCAGCTGTGATCCTCTGGGCTTTTGCTGCCAGTTACCACTGACTCCAAGTTCAATTTGAACTTTGCCAACACCAGTAATTGCAGGGTAAGAAAGGTTGAACGGAGCCTGGATTTAAAGTGCTTTGCAATAATGAATAATGGCACAGAGGGTCCTATATCAACAGATAAAATTGTTCACAGTGTTTCCTGCATTGAATGGCCCATGTGATGACGATATGCACTGACACCAGTATCAAATTATATCAAATGCAAGTACAAAAACTGCAAGTCTCTGGCAGCCTTCTTGCTCATTAAGGCTACATTTAGCACCAAATCCTCCAGGCTTCCTTTGGTCCAGTGGGTAAAAATAGCTTTCAGTTCATTTTCATGAAGGCAAAACATTTAGAAGGTTCTCTTTTGAACTAGTAGGCAGGTTATATTCCCACTAGTGCCACCTTTTCTGAAAATATATGCACTTCTATGGCTCTAAGGTAACTCGCATGTCAGTCTCCACGTACTGTTGTTCGTTATGTTACCAGAGATGACATTGAAAGGACACTGCACCCACAGTGGCCATTTGTCCCTTCTACTAAAGTCTCCCTCTATTCACTAAGCTTCCCACAGACAGACTGAGGTACAGCCTTGCCTAGATAAGCACACAGAACCTGTCTTTATCTGCCTGGCAGGGGGACGTGGCCTAAGCTAAAATAACCAGCAATAGGGGCCCAGCTATCTTCACAAGGCCCCGAGAATAGAACAGATCCACGCAAACAAGAGTGAATAGAAGAAGGAGGAAACACTCACACTGTGCACACAGACGCTTGTTTAGCTAATACAGCAACCACCTGCTACTGGCCGCTACCTCTGTTGGACCCGATAACACAGAATACACCAGCACTGTGATTATAAAGTGGCAGAGAGTGGGAGGTGGGAATGTGAATATGAGACGGCTCCATTTACAGTACTTTACTGTTGTCGTTTGGTGGGGGAGGAGGGGTGTAAGAGGAGGGAGGGGACTGGCTTTATGACTAATACGGTAATTGATGGAGAAAAGCTTCTCGGGTCATAAATAGGAGCCATTATCCTCTGAATTAGCAAAGTGGGAGACAAAATGATGCACAACCATTCAGTGATTTGCAGAGAATTGGTAAAGGGCACTTGTTATCCATCTTGCTACAAATAGGTATCTTTCACAGCACACGGGACATTTACCAGCAATGTCTAAAAAGTACATTTGGTACTATGAGAGGTATTACAACCAGCAAATCAATTTCACTTACTCCAGGCTGCTGCAGGATCCTGAGAATAGGGTGGTCAGGATGGAGATGCAGATTAGTATAACATTAATTTTGCTTCTTTCTCTTCTT